ATCACCCCTCCTTGAGGAGCTCTTGTTCATCTGATTTATCTCCTGCCAAGACACTGATGCTGGCCCCCAAATATTTAACCCTCAGCTCATCCATCTAATCTTCCACATGTTTGTGGAGCCTCTCCCTTTTCTCCTTCTGCTTCTCCATCTTCTAAATCCCAGGCTGGGAGTTGCAATGATTGGTCCAAATGTTTTGGATGAGCATCATCCCTCCTTGAGGAATTCTTGCTCCTCTGATTTACCTCCTGACAAGAAACCAATGTTGCCCCCAATCATTAAACCCTCACCTCATCCATCTAATCCTTCTTCCACGTGTTTTTCTCCTTGAAGAGGAATCTGCTCTGGGTTTGGTGTCTCCTTGAACTTCCTCTGGCCATGCCTTCACTGCGATGGGCAATGATTGATCCCATAGATGTTCTAAAGCCTTGGATGAGCATCACCCTCCTTGAGGAGCTCTTGTTCATCTATCTCCTGCCAAGACACTGATGTTGGCCCCCAAATATTTAACCCTCAGCTCAACCCATCTAATCTTCCACATGTTTTTGGAGCCTCTCTCTCTTCTTCTTCTGCTTCTCCATCTTCTAAATCCCAGTCTGGGAGTTGCAATGATTGGTCCCACCAGATGTTCCAAATGTTTTGGATGAGCATCATCCCTCCTTGAGGAATTCTTGCTCCTCTGAGTTATCTCCTGCCAAGAAACCAATGTTGGTCCCAATCATTAAACCCTCACCTCATCCATCTAATCCTTCTTCCACGTGTTTTTCTCCTTGAAGAGGAATCTGCTCTGGGTTTGGTGTCTCCTTGAACTTCCTCTGGCCATGCCTTCACTGCGATGGGCAATGATTGATCCCATAGATGCTCTAAAGCCTTGGATGAGCATCACCCCTCCTTGAGGAACTCTTGTTCATCTATCTCCTGCCAAGACACTGATGTTGGCCCCCAAATATTTAACCCTCAGCTCAACCCATCTAATCTTCCACATGTTTTTGGAGCCTCTCCCTTTTCTCCTTCTGCTTCTCCATCTTCTAAATCCCAGTCTGGGAGTTGCAATGATTGGTCCCACCAGATGTTCCAAATGTTTTGGATGAGCATCATCCCTCCTTGAGGAATTCTTGCTCCTCTGATTTATCTCCTGCCAAGAAACCAATGTTGGTCCCAATCATTAAACCCTCACCTCATCCATCTAATCCTTCTTCCACGTGTTTTTCTCCTTGAAGAGGAATCTGCTCTGGGTTTGGTGTCTCCTTGAACTTCCTCTGGCCATGCCTTCACTGCGATGGGCAATGATTGATCCCATAGATGTTCTAAATACCTTGGATGAGCTCCTTGAGGGGCTCTTGCTCATCTGATTTATCTCCTGACAAGAGACTAATGTTGGCCCCCAATCATTTAACCCTCACCCTCGTCCATCTAATCTTTCTTCCACCTGTTTTTGGAGCCTCTGCCTCTTCTCCTTCTGCTTCTCCATCTTCTAAATGCCAGGCTGGGAGTTGCAGTGGGTCTCTGTTCCCTTTCCTTGCAGGGTGGAGGACAAAAGGGATGAGCAGACACCTGATTGCACAAGTGGCTTCTCTCCAAGGGGCTCCTCCTGCTTCACCCTCCCTGCTCCTCGGTGGCTTGATGAGTTGGTGATTCACGGAGATGAATCTGATATCCAGCACTAAACCTTCTGGGAACTCTTTCCTTGGAAGCAGAAGTGGGACAGGCAGGCAAAGGGAAGCCCTGGAAGGGGTGAAGTTCTCAGCTCCAGCTCCACCTAAACCATAATCCTGCAGAGAAATCCTCAAGGCTGAGAACATCAGGTCTGGCTGGGATCTGGCAGGGCTTGGAATTGGATGCTCCGTGTAGAGAAGGGGCACAAAGATATTTTGAACCCTTGCTGGAAGTGTTCAAGGCCAGGTTGGGTGGGGATTTGAGGTGGTCTAATGGAGGGTGTCCCTGCCCACGGCAGAGGGGTGAAACAAGATGGTCTTCAATGTCTCTTCCAACCCATCCTGTGATTCTATAATTTAGGACTTTGTAGGTAACCAGCAGCTTTTAGAGGCAAAGAAGGCATTGTAAGACATTTCTTGTTTAGGTTGTCACCATAAGTGGGTAATAATCTAAAATGGGTTTAACCTGACTGTAGATATTGAGACTTCTCCAGGTCTAAACCCTGGAAATGCCCTTGGCATTAATCCACGGGGACGAAGCCCTTAATTTATGCCCTTTTCCTTTGAGTGTTTGCCTTCACTGAACTCTCCAACCACAGATCAGATGGAGCTGAGCAGAACAAAAGCCCCACTCAGTGCACCAGCAGGACTTCCAGCCTGACCAAGGGTAAATTAAAGCATTAAATCCAACAAATGGGGCGAATTCCCGTGGGGCTTTCACTCCTCTCAGCCCGGAGGTGAGAAAACAACCCACGTGCATTCCTGGCCTCTCACCCAGCTCGTGATCCCTGCCCACTGTTTCCAAATCGCTGTCTTCATCATCAGCCAGCTCAAAGGCAGGGAAGATATATATCCTGTCCCCAGGTGAGGGTGTTTTTCCTGGGCTGTGGAGACGACGGGGAGAAGATGAAGGGCTCTCTCCTTGCGGTGCTGGCTTTGATCCTCTGCGCGGCTCCAGGTGAGGTGACACCCTTTGCTCCCGGATAAAATATCCTGGAGTGGTTTAGAGGCAGGGACATTCCTATCCATGGGAGAGGTTCAGCCTCAGCTCTTGTGTTGCAGCAGCTGAAGGACATGGGGCTCCTCTTTGGGTTTTATTATCCGTCATCTCGGGCGGAAGACGCGGATTTTCCGCCTGGAAATTTCCCTGTCAAGGCTTTTTATGGATTTTTTAATGGGATTTTTATGGAAACAAAGAAAAAAAAAAAAAAAAGGAGGCAGTTGCCACTGCTCTGCCTCTAAGAGACTTTGCCGGGAGTTTGTCTGTTGAGGCGGTGCAAGATTGTGGTCGTTTCTAAATCTTGATGAAGACGACACGACACGACAGCAACTCTGAACAGCTGGTTCCCACTCTGGAAGCAGCAGCTGGATAGGGCCACACCTACAACATCTGGCCTTGTGCAGCTCTTCCTACCCATCTCGGAGACCCGGGAAGCTCCCTGATTTCAGAGATTTTCGGGAAAAAGTTGGGGGGTTAAGGAGAAGTCATGAACTGAATGGGTTAAGCAGCTTTATGGTGGGATATTTGGGTTTTGCATCTTATTTGTGCTGTAGATGATTCATTTTATTTCACAGTGTGGTGGTAAATTAAATCAAAGCCCTTTTAAGGAATGGGATCTTATGTCCTCTCTAGACCAGACAATCCAGCAACCAGAGAGAATTAAATCTTATCCTCGCTTTGTAAAGAGGGATGGGGCTTGCCAGCGCTTGGAATTCTGCCACGTTGTCTGGTGCAGAGAAAGAATTCCTTGGAATAGTTATTTCTGTCTCATTGTGGCCTAAGAATACCTTTCTGCTATTTAGCTTTGTTCACTCACCAGAATAGAGGTTCTGACAGATTTCCAAGCGTTAACAAGGCCTGGGAGACAGAGAGTTTGTCCTCGGTGCCAAAATGAAGACTGGGCTAATCCACGCTGGATAATCCAGGCAGGAAAAATGAAGTGTTACATTGCACGTGTTTTAGGGCTGAGTTCTCCCAGCAAAGAGTTAAAAGCCCTTCTCCTCACCTTCTTTTTTCCTTAATCCAGGTATTGGATGTATTTTTGAGGGCATTGATGTCCCACCGAAGGACGAGGGCATGGGAGCCTGACTTCTTTAGGCTGTGGAGGTCCCAATTAACTCTCTTCATCTGCCTTAGGTTTTCTGCCTAATTAGGCTGCAGCCTAATAGTCTCCAGAACTAGGAAAGGTGACCCCAGGCCTTGGAACACTGTTGTAGATCCTCCAGCAGTTCCTGCCCTTCCCCGCTCCAGGCATCACATCAAACTCAGTGTCCTCGGCCCATCAAACTGAAGGAGGGAAATTTAGTTTAGATATTGGGAAGGAATTCTTCCCTGGCAGGGTGGGGAGGCCCTGGCACAGGTTGCCCAGGGAAGCTGTGGCTGCCCCATCCCTGGAAGTGTCCAAGGCCAGCTTGGATGGGGCTTGGAGCGACCCGGGCTAGTGGAAGGTGTCCCTGCCCATGGCAGGTTGAAACTGGATGATCTTTCAGGTCCCTTGCAACCCAAACCATGCCATGATTCTATGATTGTTGTGTTATTTTGAGCCCCCTGGCCCTTTGGGGTGTTATTTGGAGTGCAGGGCAGGACTTGGGTGTGTGCACAGGTGTGTGACCCTGACCCACGTGTTGGTGCAAATATTCCAGTGTGGGGATGGAAGAGTGGGTTGGGTCTTTGAGTTCCATCCCTCCCATCAGACCTGCACCTCATGCATTTGAGACTCAGTGAAAAGAAGGTGATAATTTTTGCTGCCAGGGCTGGTGGCATTTCACAGAATCCCAAAATCCTTCAGGTTGGAAAAGACCTCCAAGGTCATCAAGTCCAACCTGTGACCCATCCCCACCTTGTCCACCAGCCCAGGGCACTGAGTGCCATGTCCAGGCCTTCCTTGGACACCTCCAGGGATGGGGACTCCAAACCTCCCTGGGCAGCCCCTTCCAATGTTTGACAACCCTTTCCTTGAAGAAATTCATCCTGATGCCCAAACCGAACCTCTCCTGGCGCAGCTTGAGATTGTTTCCTCTCCTGTCCCTTGTTCCCTGGGAGCAGGGCCTGACCAGCTCCCCCTCTTGTCAGGGAGTTGCAGAGAGCAAAAAGGTCCCCCCTGAGCCTCCTTTTCTCCAGGACGAGCCCCTCCAGCTCCCTCAGCTGCTCCAGCCCCTTCCCCAGCTCCATTCCCTTCCCTGGACATGCTCCAGCCCCTCAATGTCTTTCTTGTCCCAAGGGGCCTAAAACCGATTCCAGGATTCAAGGTGTGGCCTCACCAGCGTTGAATACAGAGGGACAACCCCTTCCCTGATTTTCTGATGATTTTTTCCTCCATCTTCCATGTCTTGTGTCCCCTCCTGCAGCCAATGCCCTGTATTGCTACACCTGCAACTGGGAACAAAGCAACTGGAGCTGCCTGAAGGCCGAGAAGTGCTCGGAGAAGGACGAGTACTGTGTGACCAACGTGGCCTCTGTAGGGATTGGTAGGTGCTGGTTGTGTGTCCCCTCCTGAGGACTCGGGAATGGGATGTGGGGTTTGGGCTGGATTTGTCATGGTTGCCCTGTGGTGATGGATGGGTTGAGGAGTCACTGGGAGGTGGAGTCCTTGGTGGCCCAGCCTGGCAGTGCTGAAGGTTTGAAATGCTCCTCCCCATCACACTGAGATTGTCCTTTGTTTCATTCCTGCATGGAAAGGCAGGGGGACAGTGGGAGAAGGGGAAGGATCCTTCAGAGAAAGAATAAGTAAATTTGAACCTTGGTTAGACAAGGAGATGGAAAGAAACGAGTAGTGGGGGTGGATGAGAAGGTCTAGAGAGATGGAGAATCAGGGAATTGTTAAAGCTGGAAAAGACCTCTAAGGTCATCAAATCCAACCGTCAGTGCACCACCACCATGTTCACCACTAAACTGTGTCCTCAAATGTCAAATCCACACATTTTTTGAACACTTTCAGGGATGGTGAGTCCACCAGTGCCCTGGGCACTGTCCCTTGTTCCCTGGGAGCAGAGCCTGACCTCCCCTGGCTCCCCCCTCCTGTCAGGGAGTTGGAGAGAGCAAAAAGGTCCCCCCTGAGCCTCCTTTTCTCCAGGATGAGCCTCCCCAGCTCCCTCAGCTGCTCCAGCCCCTTCCCCAGCTCCGTTCCCTTCTCTGGACACTCTCTGACCCCTCATCTTTGTCATGAGGCGCCCAAAACTGATCCCAGGATTTGAGGTGTGGCCTCACCAGCGCCAGGAGAGGGGAAGGATCCCTTCCCTGGTCCTGCAGGTCACACTATTTCTGACACAAGCCAGATACAGAGGAGAACAGAATTATTTCCTTCAGGCAGAGAAACCTGGGAATGTGTTTCCAATCCAGGGCTGAATCCACAGATCCCATCCTATACCTTGGACACAAGGGTTCACATTGGGAAGTGCCCAGCAAGGACATTGAATGCCTTGTGTGGGGGTCAGCAACAATTGTTGGGCTGTGGTGGGACTGGGGTGGGTCTCATGGGGGGACAGTGGGACCCATTAATCCATCTCCCTCCTGTGAAAGCTGGAGGAGAACTCCCTAAACTCCCATCGCTGATCCCGCTCTCTCCCTCCCTCCCTCGGCCAAGGCTTTTTGTCTCTGTGGAAGAGGATCACCAAGAAGTGCTCTGAGACCTGCCCACACCACAACTTCAGCCTGGGCCTGGCTTCCTACACCTCCTACTGCTGCCAAACCTTCCTGTGCAACCTGAGTGCGTGCCCGGGGCCCAGGCTGGCCCGGCAGTGAGGTGCCAGGGAGCCCCATCCCGGTGTCCTTCTTCACCTGCTCCATGCTGAGGGAAGAAAGGGGGCTCCTGAAGGCCTGAAGAGCATGGCCAGATTCCCCCAGGAGGGCATGGCCACGGAACATGCTGTGGAATAGATAAAATATTATGGTCAGCACCTCCTGCCCTGTGTTGCCTCCTGACCTGTGGCTTCTCACTCGATTCTCACACCCCAGCTCTGTCACCTCAGCAGCTTCCTGGAGGAATGGCCCTGCTCTATCCTGCTACCTGGGGCAGGGAGGTGCTGCTTCTGCATCTCCTGCATCTCTAGAGGGGTTTCTGCTGCAGTTTTGTCTTATTTTGGGTGCAGCTGGAGCCACGGAGCGGCAGCTTCCAGGCTGAGGGAGGGGAGGGGGCAAAAATAACAACCAGCTCAGAGGGGAAACTGTGCAAACTCGTGGGTTTGTTGCCAGGGAAGGGGAAAAGCTTCCTGGGTGAAAGAGCCTGAGCCTGTGATGGGTGAGAGTCACAGCTCCCCCCTTGCACCTCTCACCCTGCTCTGTCCATCCTCTCCCTCCCCAGCTTGGGCACAGTGACACCCCCAGAGCCCCAGGAACAGGCAGACACGTCACCCACACCCCTCCTCTTCCTCTTGGCTCTGCCTCGGGTGCCACATTTCTTCTCAAAATGATGCTTCTCTGCACATCTGCACAAACATCTGCTTGGTTTTGGCCCCACCTCCACTTCCAACATCCCTGGGAATCCCTTTCTCCACGTTGCCCTTCTGTTGCTGGAGCCGAGTGGCCTCACCTCGGGCCAGCACTGCCCCGGCCTTCCCACTTGGAATTGTGTCTTCCAGAAACCCCTTCATTTATCTTTCCCTCTGACATCCCCCCAAAATCGACTGTAGAGTAATCACAGAATCGTGGAATGTCCTGAGTTGGAAGGCAACCACGAGGATCATCCAAGTCCAACCCCAAGAATCCCACCACGTGCCTGAGAGCTTTTTCCAAGTGCTCCTGGAACTCTGGCAGGCTTGGGGCTGTGACCACTTCCCTGAGGAGATTGTTCCAGCGCCCAACCACCCTCTGGATGAAGAACCTTTTCCTAAAATCCAGCCTAACCCTCCCCTGACACAGCTCCAGCCGTTCCCTCCGGTCCTGTTGCTGCTCCAAGAGAGCAGAGATCGGAGCTGCTCCTTCACCTCCCCTCGTGAAAACTATTTGGGTCGAGCTGCTGAGGAACATTCCAGAGGTTTTGTAAGGAAAAAAAAAATGAAATTTCACAGCAGCCAAATATTTCATGCAGATGTTTCCAGAGCCTGCAGAGAAATGAGGGTAAAAAGAAGCCGAAAAGAACGACGACGAGAGCAGAGATTTTTTTCATTGCCGAAGCGTCTCTGTTTTCCCCCAGGCAGCATTTTTTTGGGGAGGGAGGGAGGGAATTTTGCTCTGGAAAGTGCTTTAACTCTGTTCAGCTCGGGCTCCCGAGTGCACAAACCGTTTGTGAGCCAAGGGGTGACGTTCTGTGTTGTGTTTGGAACCCAACCCTTGGTAAACAAGGGGGACAAAAGGGGCTTTGAGCCGAGCTGAGCGGGGCCGCCTCGGGCTGCTGGAGCTTTTCTTCTCAAGTGCTGCAGAACAGGAACCCTCAGAGATGTGTCTCTCTCTAATTAATCCACTTCTCTCCAGCCCACCTGGATGCTGCCCAGGGAAAGGCACTTCCATCCCTCCAGAGCTGGAGTGGGGAAAAATAATTTCCAACCTGGATTTCTTGGTTTTAATTGTCAAGTGATTTATAAGCTGGATTTCTTGAAGCTGGATCCCTCTGTGTTGGGGGTTAATTAAAGCCCTGTCAAGCCCCTATATAGGGGTTAATTAAACCCCTAATGAGCCTCTATTTAAGGGTTAATTAAACCCCTGTCGAGCCCCTATTTGAGAATTAATTTAAAACACGATCTCGACCCTTTGTCCCGGTTGATTTTAAAGCCAGGTCGGGTGTTGTATTTTCCCCTCTCTGCTGCAGAAATGAGATAAAATCAGAATTTTTTTATTAAAAAAAAAAACAAAACCAAAAAAAAAAAGTCCAGAGAAGAGCAACAAGGCTGGTGAAGGGACTGGAGCACAAGTCCTGTAGGCAATTCACCCCCTTCTAACCCTTTTTTAGATCCCCATCCCTCCCAAATCCTCTTTAGTAATCCACATTTCTTACCCTGAAGCAACCCAAGCCCCCTCCCCTCCCTCCACCCAAAGCTCTAATTTACCCATCACATGACGTTTTCTCATAAAAAGAAGAAGAAAAACAACGACAAAATAATAATAAAAAAAAAGGGACTTGTGTGGTTTTCCTCCCGTGGGCCGGAATTATTCAGCTCTCTGAAAGCACCGAGGAGTCCCAGTTGGACAGACTCTAATAATTAATATTTCATTGGATTGGATTTACAAGTCCTGCAGTAGCGGAGCTCCCCCCACCCCACCCCCAGCCTTCAGGAGAACACAAAAGGATGGTTTTTTGCTGCTTTAAAGCTAAAACTGGCTGGGTTCCAGGTTTTTTTGACTTGATTTGCTGGTTTTTTGCAGCAAAAAAACCCCTCTTTTATATCCCCTGGGTGATATGAGGGGAAATAAATCGTCCTGGGCAGGGCTGAGCAGCAAAGGGGTATTTTTTTACGGTGACAGGACAAGGGGGAATGGCTTTAAACTAAAAGAGAGGAGGTTTACATGGAATATTAGGAAGAAAATCTTTAATTTGAGGGTGGGGAGGCCCCGGCACAGGTTGCCCAGAGGAGCTGTGGCTGCTCCATCCCTGAAAGTGTCCAAGGCCAGGTTGGACAGGGCTTGGAGCAACCTGGGATAGTGGGAGGTGTCCCTGCCCATGGCAGGGGAGTGGAACTGGATCGTCTTTAAGGTCCCTTCCAAATAAAATCATTCCATGATTCCATGATTCCCTTGCCCAAAGGCCACTGCAGCTCAAGCACATGGAAATCTCCCCTTCTCCTATTCCATAAAATTCCATGATTCCCTTGCCCAAAGGCCACTGCAGCTCAAGCCCATGGAAATCTGCCCTTCTGCCATTCCATAAAATTCCATGATTCCCTTGCCCAAAGGCCACTGCAGCTTGAGCACATGGAAATCTGCCCTTCTGCCATTCCATAAAATTCCATGTTTCCCCTGCCCAAAGGCCACTGCAGCTCAAGCCCATGGAAATCTGCCCTTCTCCTGTGGTCCAAACCTGTCCTGGTGATAATGACTCCTCTCTGATACATCTGAGATGCCCCAGGAGGAAGAAGAGGAGGGTGTGATTCCAAACTACTAATTCTGACCAGGAATTGGGGCCGGTTTTGATCCCAGAGACATTCCAGGGATTCAGTCCCGCTGAGCCTTTCCCCTTGGCTGTGTCACTCTGGGCAGAATCCACCCCTTTGGGCTGCAAAGTTGCAACAAAAAGAGGTTGGAAAAGAACTTGTTCTCGTCGCTCCAGACTTGTCTGACCCATCCAAAAACGTGATGGAGATGGTGGGAGAGAGATGAAGGACAAAGAATCCACGGAGATCTTGGCACACAGGAATTCGGGGAGGGGATTCCCAATTATCTGGACATGCAGAGAGAGGGAATAGCCAGCTGTTGTCCTCCAAGGCCTGGAAAAAGGTCCTTGGAGAAAGAAGTGCCCGAGGTTGGAGCTTGGAAGAGGCAGCACGAAGCAGACACGGAGTCCTTCCAGCGGCAGGAACACGTGGGATCGGGATGAGGCAACGAACAATTCCAAATGGAATCATAAATGCCTGGTTAGAGATAATAACCAGCAGTTTAAATGCCTGAGGGATGCACTGGGTGGACATCAGGGGTGGCTGTGACGTGGTTCCTTCGGGATGGGGGACACCTGGAATTGCTGTGTGTGGTTGTCACCCTTCACCTTTGCTACCAGAGCCTCCAACAGCCAAATCCAGGGATAAATTTATCCCTATGCCGAGATGTGTGTGTGGGCGGGGCTGGAGAAGAATTGGGATGGAGCCATCGAGCCTTGAAAAAGGGGGAGAAGTTCCCCAGGCAGGGATTTGTGGGAGAGGGGACATCCCGTGAGGACACGTGGCCCTCACACCACTGAGATGTGGATTGTTCCAGGCAGGAAAACACCAAACCACCATTGGGAGCTGCAGCAGCCCCAGATGTGTTGCCTAAATTCTTTGGAGGGTTCCAAGAAGGGGGTGAGGTCTTTGTTCGTGCTGTGAGGTGACCGTTGGAGAGACCTGCTGGGTCACGGGAACCAGAGAGGATGGAGAGGGGACAAGTGATCTGGATGTCCCCAGAGTGGACAAACACTCTCTGGGCTTGTGATCCCTTCCCGTTGGGGTTTGTATGGAAAAGCTGCAGGAAACGCAGCTCTGGGGGAAATTCCAGCTCCAAACTTTTCCAAAAGCTGAAATCCCTGGCGCTGCTCAGAACGAATCAGAAGAGGGTGGTTTTTTTTAAAAAAATTGGAATTCTCCTTTTCTTTCTTGACTTTTGACTTCATAAAGCACATTTGATTTCAAGCATTTCCACCTGAAACAGCCTTTGGGGACTCGTGTTTGGGCCTTAATTCACTTATTTAAATGCTGGATGCCCCAGTCTGTGCCCACCCCCCTTCCTGGCACAGGCACCACGAGTAGCATTTGAAGGGCTCAGTGGAGATTCCCAACTTTTTTTTCCCGGAGCCTCTGGGCAAGTGAATCAGAGAGATCATACCTAAATTAGTTGTTTTGAATCCCAGACTCGGTGAGAGAAATAAAATAAATTAAGAAAAACATGGCAAAATTATAAAAAAAAGAATAAAACCACACACAACTACGAGGCGGAATTTGATGGAAGTTGGAGGTTTTCCATGAAATTTCCAGGTCTGGTGCACTAATGTTGAGAGGGGAGACATAACAACAAAATAAAACCCGCTTTCCCGGGAAATTCTGGCTGGTTTCCAGCACGAGGAGCTGGAAGCACAGGACGAAGCCCACGAGGGGGAGCTGGTGCCTCTGCTCCCGGAGCAAATTCCGGGGGGGAAAACGAGCAGCCGAGGGAGGGATGAGGCTGCTGGGCTGGAAAGAACCCGGGGAAGGGTGGCTTTGGGTGCCAACCCGTGCCAATCGTGCGGAGGTGCCGGCGGGTCCTGGCCACGCTCCAG